ATGAGTTTCAGAAAAAAAAATTAACACCTGATAACTGCAATTTTAACCCCTTCATGGAAAATATAGAGTAGTTTGTTATATATTTAGTTGAATAAGAGATAAAATGAGTTCAGACTCTTAGATTTTTTAAGCTTTTGAAAGAATTTATTTTTCTCAATCTAAAAACAAATTTCATTCAATTTTCGTAAACTCTACAAGAAAACCACCAATTTCAACATACTCTACTCTAGAGCCTATGTTACAATTTTACAACTAGCATTTTATTAAATGTATTCCATTCAATTCATATAGCACTACGCTATATAAAATCGTACAGCATTACATTATAAAAAGTCTCCTTGCATTTACATTAGGTACATTTATAGCATAACACAATACACAATGTTGTAGCATAACACTGGGAATATTCTTGTAGTAAAAGTATTGTGGAAGTCGATCTTAAAGTATTCGATTATTTAATATCTTCCACTATTGATCATTACTGGTGACATATACATGGCCAATAACACTTCTCTGCGAAATGTGTTATTCGAATGTTCATAATAATGCGACCATAAATCCATCAACTGGAAATGCAACTTTAAAATACTGATGAATTTAGTCAAGGATTATGTTCACCAATGGGCTAAACGTGAAAAAAAACGTAGATACTCTTTCTGAATGTAATAATGCTGTGAGGATGTTGAAACAAATAAGAATTAAAAAACTGAATGGGTATGTGAAAACATATACTACATTAAGACCCAAATGTAACTCAGCATATGTCCTGCCTCCATGACAAATATGTTGTTGACCCAGCAGATAAAGCTCTAAACAACATCGTGTGTGTTTGTTTGAGTCACATTACAAAGCCTGCTTGATAAAAGAATAAGGCGTTGACAAATCACATTTAAACTCGAAGATTTCCTTCACAGCATATACCAAAGAGGAAATTCTGAATCATCGTGGGTGTGTTCTATGTTTCTTTGGAATATCAACCAAAGATGAAGAACTGGATTATAATACACTGTATTTGATACAGTGTCCTCACAAGCAACTTTATAGTCCTGGGTCTTCCAAGTGCTTCACGAAACCTCTTTTCAAAATTTTTAACATCATTTTGATCATAAAAAAACGGACTTCATACTCGGGCGAGGTGAATCAGATGATAAAAAATTTCAAAAGTACATGAATCTAAGTCTCTACCCACTTGCAATGGTGTTAAAATCTTTGACTTATTTACCCTTTACACTAGAACTCCCAATAACAAATTCGAAAAAATACAAATTGAACGAATTGGTCCTACTTTGTTTCATAAAAAAGAATTGCTAACGTAAACACATATATCCTGTTTAAGGGCAGAATAAATCCTACGTTTCAAAATAAAAAATACTGATTCAAACTAAATCTCTGAAACTGACATTATCGAGATGCTTGATTTCTTGATCGACAACATACATTATACGTTTAAAGGACGTGTTTTTCACCAAACAATCGGAATTCCTATGAGAACTAACTGTGCTCATCTTCTTGTCGACGTGTTTCTTTAGTCATATTAGACAACTTTTACACAGGAAATACTTAAAAAGAATAAAATAAAATAAAAAGCAAGCATGATGCTTCAATTTCACGTTCTGCTATATACATGATGTTCTATCACTAAAAGTTTGGTGACTATGTCGAACGCATCTATCCAATCCTATAAAAAAAAAGGATACGGCAGATAAACTTAAGACTGCCTCATATCTTGACTTACGCCTAATAACTGACAAAATGGTCGGTTGAGAACTAACCTTTACGGACAAAAGAGACGATTGTTTAGCTTCCAAGTTGTGAACTTTCTGTTTTTATGTAGCAACTTAACTGCAGCACCTTCATATGGAGTATAAATCTCCCGGTTACCATATCCCAGAGCTTGCATTTCCATCATGATTTACTTTGATAGAGGTTTGCTGCTACCAAGGAAGATATTAAACCACGAGTTGTTTGCACGTTATTAAATATCTGTTTCATATATGACGACGGATATGTTTCAATTGCCATAACCTATGTCCGCCCTCTTTTCTTGGAATGTGACATACCGAATAAGACTTGTGTACTAACAATAGCAACATGCCAGGTACCATATGTCGAGGAGCAAGATCTGCTCATCCATAGCACCTGAGATCATATCCGGATTCAAACGTTGCGTTGTGGTTTGTAGCCTTTTGTTTGTCTTTTGATCATTTGTAGTTATATGCCAGGGCGTTGTCAGATTGTAGATATGGAAAATCTGTTGCAAAGTCACCCACATGCACATTTTACCTTCGAATAATTTTAATAATTTTCTGTGTGTCCTTTTTATTTATATAGCTCATCTCAACTTGTACAAGTATCTAATCATCCTTATGTTCAACGTTTTATGTGTGTGTGTGTTGCTGAAAAAGGTAAATTGAGAAAAGCGCTTTGAACCCACAAAATTTATAAGGTGTTATTTTCATTACATGTAGGATACCAAATACAACATGTTATTGCAAGTCAACAATTCTGTCGGTTTACCCTTCTATAGACTGTACATTTGGATTTATCCTTTAACTACTTCTTCCTTAAATTACATGTAGTATTTTTGTCGTAGAATTTAAAGCGTCGGAAGTGAATATACAAGTCGCGAAAATTAGCCACGGTGATCAAGTATCCATATTCCCAATCAAATAGGCAGACATTGTAACTGTTATGGCTACAACATCAGTGATTCAAGTGGCTCCATGGGAGCATCTGTAACATATTAAGTAGTGCAATATTGAAACTCGGGGAAAAAGTATTTAGATACTTATATTTCAAATGTAGTAATATTTTAGCATTTACACAAAGAAATGAGCTACATTTGAATTCAATATAAACCATTTGATTTCTACAGAAGTAGGCAGGTAAGTTCACCAGGACAGCCGATATATTTGGATATTACATCTGTATATTGACATAAACATGTTTATTTTGTATGATTATTTGCAAGAAATATTGATCACGATCAATCAAAAAACAACAGTTGTCACAGTACAGTCTTTTAATCAGACATAAGTTATCTATAAATAAACCATGATGAAACGAGTGAGATTTATTTTAAAGATATCGTTTGGCGCTAGAAATTTGTCCTCCTTCCTGTTGTCGATTAAAATTATGATTACTTGTGATGGTAAAAGATAACAATAAATTATATCAAATTTCGATTGTACATTCAAGTGCAGAAGAATTGCATCAGATAAAACAACTACAAAATTATTTATAAAATTCATTCAGATGAGGCAAACTACATATATAACATCTTACACTTTCAGGTATTTCACATCCAATCTTTTATGGTACTATTCTATACTTAGCACAAAAATGTCGACATTCACCTCAAAAGCTAACCAAACCTTTAAACAGACTTATTCAGAAGAGATATAGTTACGATACCGTTGTCAGGTCATTAAAGATGATATATTTTGGTATTAATATTGATTCACTCATTGTGTCTTTGCATCGGAAATAAACACATTTATTCTAGAACCAGTTGTTGGCATGCTACGGGTTATGTTCTTCTCATATATTTTATGATGATATGATACTAAACCCCTAACGGGAGAGATTGTGCTTGATTTTCATATGATGAAGACATAATCTTTCAATCAGTTTGATTGAGGTGTGGAGCTGGCATATCAGTAACTGCTAGTAGTCCTTTGTTAATTTATGTATCATTGTCATTTCGCTTAGTTTCTTTTGTTATCTTTTCTGACATCGGACTCGGACTTCTTTTAAACTTAGTTTTACTGTGCGTATTGATGTGTGTTTGTTTATTCTACATTTGCTAGAGGTATAGGGGGAGGGTTGAGATCTCACAAAACATGTTTAACCCCGCCGCATTTTTGCGCCTGATCCAAGTCAGGAGCCCCTGACCTTTGTTAGTCTTGGATGGTTTTTTTTTAATTTTAGTTCATTTATATGTTTTGAAGTTTAGTGTGACGTCCATTTTCATTGAACCAGTACACAGTTTTGTTTTTGGGGCAGCTGAAGTCGGCCCCCGGGTGCGGGATTTTCTCGCTGTGTTGAAGACCCATTGGTGGCTTTCGTCTGTTTTCTGCTCTTTGATCGGGTTGTTCTCTCTTTGACACATTACCTATTTCAATTCTCAATTTCATTCAAACTGTGAGGTATTTTGTGTTGTTGGACTATTTATGAACTTTTTTTTATTAAAGCGTAACTGATGAGTCTTTCTTAGACAAAACGCTCGTCTATCTATCTATCCCAAAAGGTGCAACACGCCACGTTCGGCAGTGTTTCTGCGAAGGTACAAATAAGGAGATGCGCTTTGATTGCCAATGAGACAACAATCCGTCAGATATCTAATGACTTGGATGCAAGCAACTATGGGTCCCTCTACGGTATTCAACAATGAACAAAACCATACCTTTTAGTTAGCTATGAATATAAAAGGCAACGACACGACAAAACGTGACCCAATTTAAAAGATTAAACAAATGTCCTGAAGTATGATTGAATATTTAAGGGAAACAGATCTGACAGAGAGTAACCAACGGCAAATACGGATACAACGAAAGAAGAAACTGCTAATAAACAGATCAAAAGTGATTGACTATTCAGATCGAAACGTGGATATAAACACAACTATGAAGAAGACAGAAGACACAAAGTACCCATCTGAGAGTACAGGCAGTTACTAAAGGCTAGTTAAAAGCAAAATGCAACTAATAAATATATCTAGTTTTCCAGACTAATATAAGTCAGTACACATCCAACAGATTTAGTGTAAAGACGTCATGAACCGGTTAAAAAGATGACCTTATGCAATGACAAAATAAAATTAACGTTCATTGAAATCTAAAACGTCCTGTACTAAATCAGGAATATGGTGGGATTTTTGTCAGTCTGTACATTGATTGATGCAGTGTAGAGTTTGGTTTTCTCAGGTGTTATGGACTATCCCTTTTTTGATTTACCTTATAGTTCTGTATTTGTGTTAATATACTTTTCAGACAGGGGAATATACATGTCAGTATTAACGCCAAACAATTTTTCTTATACTAATATATGTTACACTAATACTTCATCCATACATTCTGGTTTGATACAGTTACCAATACAGCAGACTCCCTTGAACAACATATGTGATGGCCAACCTGTAAAGGCATGCACTAACCTTCAGTAATCGAACTTAGTCATCTGGCATTGTTTGATTACGCTGTCTTCCTTACATTATGTTTTATTCGTAGCTGTAAGATGTGAATAATTAACATGCAATACAAAAACAAAGAAAAGTAATATAACAAAAATACCGAACTCCGAGGAAAATTCCAAACGGAAAGTCCCTAAGCAAATGGCAAGCTCAAAAGCTCAAACACATCAAACGAATGGATAACAACTGTCATATTCCTGACTTGGTACAGGCATTTTGTTGTGTCGAAAATGGTGGATTAAACCTGGTTTTATGGCTGGCTAAACCTCTCACTTGTATGACAATCGTATAAAATTCCATTATATTGACAACGATGTGTGAACAAAACAAACAGACATAATCATGATAATAGGTAAAAATGTCAATAAAAGGGTTACAGCAGTTAACATTTTGTTATAATCTTAATCACTACCAATTGGCATATATAACATGCCCAAGCAATGACAGTCACACATACGCCATTTTGGAAATATAATACCCTTTTCACCGTTCTCTCATATCAAAATTTATTTATAGTTGTGCTTGAAAGAAATTTGAATCAGGGTAATGCCGGCGATATTGTTTTCTTTAAAAATATTTTTCCATACAATTCCAAGCATTCCTGTCGAAAAGTTCTATCAAACAGACAAAATACGATAGGATTGGCTGCATTGTTGACAAAATATCCGCGCAATAGAATGTTGGATACTGGTTGGACAATATTTTGATACATCTTAGGATTTAGCATTATGACCATGAATGTGAACACATATAACATATATCCTAAATAGGAAATAGCGGTTGCTATCATGAAGCTTATTGTTAGTCGAATCGCATTTCCAAGATTGTGTTTTGAACGAGTAGCCTTGTTCTTTTCACTGTACGAAATTTCAGTGTGCACATTATTCAATTTTTCCTCCCCATGTGGAATAGTAGATATAACCAGGGTGGTCCCCGAACTTATTTCAGACGGTTTATTGGAAGACGAATCTGGTTTCTTTCCTAATGATTCCCTCCAATCTTTCCGAGTATAAATTTTACACAGTATGTTTCCATATGAAACGATGCACATGACAGCGCCAGCTGAACTGATAATTACTAATATACTGTAATAAACTCCTACATAACGTATACTGTGATACTCTGATAAAATTTTACAATCCTTGCCTGTAAGGCCAACAATGTTTGTTTCTTTTTCGTTCAGACCGTAAAATATAACTGCAGGAATTGACAATATCGTGGATAATCCTAACAGACTGGCAGATATGACATTCGACCTTTGTGAATTAGCAAATAGTACGGGCAAGTTTTTGACAATTATCTTATATCTTTCAATGGCAATTGCAGTCAATAAACAGCCGGAGGCCACTGTTACAATGTGATTAAGAAATCTAAAGAATTTACAAGCACCGACAGATGAAAATGTGTAGTCGTATCGGATATCAAAAATCTTAAAAGGCATACACAACAAACATGATGTAAGATCGACAAGGGAAAGCCAAATGATAAAAACTCGAACGGAGTATCTTGCCATGACTGGCGATAACGTATATACTAAGACTGTGTGTATATTGCCAATTGTTCCTACGACTGACAGAAATAGCAGGAATATTGTAGCTGGAATCCCTCTGTCCAGAAATTCTTGGTATTCTATTTCACTCAAACTTGTAAAAGTTCCGTTTGTAAAATTTGATGCCATTCTGAAAATGATATAGGAAAAAATTATACAGCTGTTTTATCTCTTTTCATTTCAACAACATAACAAGAAATAACTGTTATTTCAATGAGTTATGACATTTGCCTTAAATCAACAACACAATTTATATAGTGTGAACGGAATGTATTTCTTTTTATTTTCGTAAATGTTACACAGAATGATGATTTTGTGACGAATATGTAAATGTGGACCCTGATTTGACATAGACATCGATGCTAAGCCAGACAATTTACGTGCTAGTTCACAAGATAAGATAAAACAAACAAAACTTTTCTTAGTAGTTTACTTACATGTTGATTTTTAACGTCCATTATCACATCTTAATTGTTCCGGTTTATTCTACAAATACGACTAGTTTTGACTCGGAGTCGACTAAACTATATCCTATCACTTTTCAATTGTTAGTGACGCAGCAACAAACGTCAATGTTGTTAATTGTTTCTGGGTTTGAACCTACCTAAGATCTTGCATGTTAATCTCCTACTTATAATACAAGCACGAAGACCACCGTGGACATCCGAACAGTTTGAAACAAAGGAAACAATCAAATCAGTAAGATGAGAAGACAAACAGCATGTTCTCAAGGCTTCACCAATGGCACTGTCGGTTGTCTAATTACTACTAAAAATATACGGTCATGTCAAAAATTTATTTTCAATTTAAATCAAACATCTGATAGTATGCTTGCTCAGTGCAGATGAAGAAAAGATAGTATTGTTATTTATTCGCTAATTTATTCAATAATATTTTTGTTACTGTTAGATTATATGTAAAATGTTATAAAGCATTAAGAACTCATAGCATTACATACATACCTAAATCGATCTTTCTTAATCGTGTTGTCCTTGTGTATATAGTTGTTTATACTTCTACATATGAAAATAATTCCATCCTTATTTGTTACAATTTCCAAGTAAACATTTAAATTGTTAGTTGCTAATCAGTTATATCACAACACGCACTTTAAGATTATGTATACAATGAAAACATAAATATTTCTTAAGCTTTAACAGCGTTCACTCTATTGTTTTACAAGAACATTGTAGTATGACATGTATGAGGTGACATATTTTTTTTATTTTCCTGATAACTAAAATGCTAAGTTCATTAGAGTCTTTATCTAAGTTTAACTTTTATGGCAAACCGTTCACGTCTGAATTATGTTTAAGCCATTTTTATAAAAAAGAAAAAAATACAAATTAATAAAAAAAACACTTGGATTAAAAATAAACTTCACACTGAGAATTACAAATTATACAATGAGATCTAAAAAAACACACTACGATAATTTAAGTTCAAAAAACACACTTAGAAATAAAAGTACAAACTAAATTTTAAAAAATTAAAAAAAACACAATGAGAATGAAAAATTATACACTGTTATTTGCGAGTATATCTCATTAACTTACTTAGGATGATTTTGAATATGTATATGACTCCCCAAAGGTACCTTAGGGTATCTATTGTTGAAAACTGTGAGAAATAAAACTGATCATAGTTAACCTTTCCTACCTAGACTTTACTCATACTTCTGATAAATGTTGTCAATAGTTAATCAATCATCCACACGGTCGGTTTGAAAGAGCTCGATTTTTACAAAGCAATGATTATTTTTTTCAAATAATGGCTACAATATTGTTTTGACGAGAATGGCATGCCATATACTTACATATTTGTCTTATGGAGAATGACTGTTTATATACAGCTTTCCATGGTTTTACAGACATTAAATGAATTAATGTTTGCTGTATTCCATTCACATCTGTTCCTACAACCCTGATATTTCGTAAGTTAAACCATGTACATAAATATCAAACGCAATCATTGCTACTTTTATAATATATTTATTAGAAAAAATCAACTCACGTACATCCATACATCTATGTTTAAGTAGGGTCAAGAAGTTTTTTGAATACTCATTTCTCACATTTGAAGTCAACCAACATCACAGTTCAATCACATAAAATGTGAATGCAGTTGTATTGTTTTTCAACCTAACGTTTTAGCTGATTATAATTTGAATGAATTGATAATTGAAAATTGAAAAAAAATAATATTATTACGAGGGGTAGAAATAATTTGTCTGAATTTAAACGTCAACTCAAATAAGACACATGTTATTACTTCAAATTATATCCGTATATCATGATAGTCTGTACGACAAAACAAATAATCAACAATTGCCTGACCTACACAGTATACTCACTTTCCACTTGTATTATTCGACTTGTTGTTAATTTTTTTCTCTTAACTATGCATGTATTACCATTTTTGTCATTCGAAATTCAATATGATTATTGATAATTTACCACAGTTTGAATACCGCGAAAGAATTTGTTTGAAATTACCATGCTTGACAGATACATTGTATATGTTCAAAGGCATATTTTAATCAAAAGATAGTAAATCAGGATATAGATTTAACATAAAATTTATAAGTTTTTAATATGGATGTCAAACACTAACAGGAAAATATTAGATAAAAAACATGTACATTGTTGCAATTATCAAATATCCAGCTATGTTACGAGACCGACACGATGAATCAGATTTTTAATGTTATAGCTCAAAGGGTAACGATCCGCAGTAAGACGACATTACTCATAAAACAGCAAATTATTCTGAACCGAAGAGATTTTCTGTTACATTAAACAGCTGTGTGCATACATTTATTTAAGAAAACCTAGTCAGTACTTGGAAATACAACACGTACAACACAGTCGATTAATCAACCGATACTTATTGTCTAAATGATTTCTTTGTTTTTTTTTGTAATTTGTTAAAAAAAAATGTTTTTCCAGCACTTTATGTCTGATCATTTTAAAAATACCAAATTGTTTCACTATTATCAGATGTATTTGAAGTGCAGGACAACATAAAATGGAAAATACCAGTTTCAATTGAGCTTTAATTACAAGAAAACGTCAAACAAAGATTTGAAATATTGTTTAAAATAACTTCCTCAACAAAGTATATAGATATTTTTTCATTATTCATATCAAAGCGATTTTCTACCATTTGAATTGATGTTACAATACGTAAAACAAGCGTGGTGGCAATCAACATTTCTACAAAATATAGGTGTCCGTCCAAATTCCGACTTTATTTGCGTCCATTCGTGTTTTGTTTTGAGAAATCAAAATCTGAAAACAAAAACTCAATTTTGAATAAATTGGTTTTGTCATTTATTGCAGAGTTGTATATGAAAACTGAAATTATAAGACTGTTGTCTCTTTTCCTGCACAGTAATAGAAAATAGGAAGTGTTTGTTTGTTTTTAGCTAAAAGTATTGATATATAAACAGGCGGACACTAAGGTGACATTTACACCTCATTAGACGAAAACAAAGTGACAACGTCATGGCAAAAAAAAAAATCGACGAAAAGACGATCAAGTCGATGAAACACTTGATAGAAAACTAAAGACTGAGCAATACGAGCCGCATCAAACACCCATGGTAAACTCATGTGTCCAAAAATGATTATGATTGAACACCTTATTGTAAGTACAACTGATTTAGTATCTCATACTTTCTACCAGCAGAAACATACCTATACTTGATGGTAAATGATAAAAAAAACATCAGACACACCAAGGTTAACATGTGTGTAAAACTGATATTCACCTCCTTATCCATTAGTGGCACCAATAGTCTTGATAATTTTGAAAAAATAAATATTGTGATAAAATTGCGTACCATGAAATCAAAATGGTAAATGAAATGTATCATCACTTCAGACCTCACATCTAATATAATTTGAAAATAAGTTGTGGTATGAGTGCCAATGAGACAAGTCCTCACAAGAGACCAAATGACTTGGAAGTAAACAACTATAGGTGTTGATTTATTGCAGTTGAAGATGAAGATTATATTATTATTTATTTACTGAGTTATTTAATCAAATTTGTTATTATTCAATTATTTGTTATTTAAAATATAGGGCTAGGACATCTAGTTAAGCATTACAAACATACCTTAATAGATCTCTAAAATCTTTTTTCCGTATGCTTATAGGTGTACATTCGGATACATATGACAGAAATGTTAACCTTATTTTTTATGGTTGTCAAGTGAATATTGAAATTTATATCGTCCATCAAACTTATTATTACACGCCTTTCAAATGGTGTATCCAATAAAAAATTTTATTTTTACACATCGTTAACTGGTGTTCCTGTACTTTGTTGTTTTTTTACCGTTAATAGTCCGGTTATTTAAAATATAGCAAACTGGTTCCTAATTTAAAAAACAAGGAAATGTATTTAAAGTGCAGGGTAATAGAATTGAGAATGACCAATTCAAAATATGCCGTAAATTCAAAAAAAGCACAGACTAGCAAACAAATTTTATTATAGCCTCCGTATTATAGTTAATGTTGTTGATACATAATTTAAACCAATAAAGGATCCCATTGTTTATACTGTATTATATTATATAGCATGATTTGACTTATCGAATAAAACATTGTTTAAACCAAACCAGAAAAGAATCTTATTTCACCTTTTAAATCCATGTAATGATATTTCATCCTAAAATGGTAACAATCAAAATTTCAAAAAACAATATGAAAATAAATATCCGTCCGTACTGTTTATATTGTGTCCATTCGTTTTTCGTTTTGCAATATTAAAAGGTAAAAACAAAAACTCAATTTGTTATCGTTTTCCGTTGTTAAAAACAAAAAAAAACTAAGATTTGTTTGTAAATCATTAAAACAAAGACAACGAACAAAAGCTCTCAGGTAAGCAGCAACTCTCTTTCAAGGAAATCATGATATGAAACGTAAGCCCTTGAATATTGTATCATCTGTGAGATATATACTCATTTGCACGAACTAATGGAATGCTACTACATTTAAATGGACAGTTCGTAATTGGGAAGCTAAAATCATTATTTCTATCGTAACTGTTTTTCTCAACCTGACCCTCGTTGTACATTTCTAGCTGTAGGTTACGATATGATGTTAAAATATT